CGAAACAATGGGTATTGAATAGAAGTGTTTGTAGAAAGCCTATTGGTCCATATTTCTTGATGCTTCTATATTGGAGCGGAGTCTTGAGGTGGGTAGAATATAGTTGTGCATTAATTGGCTGTTGATTGCTGGTGTTGACTTCTTGATGTGTAGTGCCTCGCAAACGTCAAGCCGCCTGCTATCGCTGTATCTATCGATGATTTCTGTGTTGTTTACTAGGACTTCTCTGGCGATGGTTTGGTTGTGGGAAGAGATTATATGTTCCTTAATGGAGCCCTGTTGCTTATGCATCGTTAAACGCCTAGAAAGAGATGTTGTTGTCTTGCCTATATACTGGGTTTTTTGGAGCTTACAGTCCCCAAGAGGGCATTTGAAGGCATAGACGACGTTAGTCTCTTTTAAAGCGTTCTGTTTTGTGTCTGGAGAATTTCTCATGAGTAGGCTGGCCGTTTTTCTGGTTTTATAGTAAATCGTCAGTTGTATCCTCTGATTTTTGTCTGTAGGGATAACGTTTCTATTAACAATATCTTTCAGGACCCTTTCCTCCGATTTATGAGCTGTGGAAAAGAAGTTCCTGTAAAATAGTCTAATAGGGGGTATAGGTGTTGTGTTAGTTGTCTCTTCAGAGGTTGCATGGCGTTTCACTTTCCTTCTTATGATGTCTTCGACGAAACCATTGGAGAAGCCGTTGTTGACTAGGACCTGCCTTACCCTACAGAGTTCTTCGTCGACTTGCTTCCATTCTGAGCTGTGGCTGAGAGCACGGTCGACATATGCGTTAACAACACTCCTTTTGTACCTGTCTGGGCAGTCGCTGTTGGCATTTAGGCACATTCCTATGTTCGTTTCCTTAGTGTAGACTGCAGTGTGGAAACCTCCGCTCTTTTCCATGACTGTTACATTTAGAAAGGGCAGCTTCCCATCCTTTTCCATCTCGTAAGTGAAACGCAGCACGGAACTCTGCTCAAATGCCTCCTTCAGCTCCTGCAGATGTCTGACATCAGGTACCTGTGTAAAAATGTTGTCAACATACCTGCGTATATGGCCGGTTTCAAGTTCATGTCGACTAAGACTTTTTGCTCGATGGTACCCATGTAGAAGTTTGCAAACAGGACACCTAGGGGAGAACCCATGGTGACCCCATCTACTTGCTTATACATGTGCCCATCCGGGCTCAAGAAGGGTGCCTCTTTAGTACAAGTTTGGAGTAGTTTCCTCAGAATATTTTCTGGTATGTCTAGAGGAGTACAGGCTGGATCACGATACACTCTGTCGGCTATCATCCCGATTGTATCGTCCACAGGTACGTTGGTAAACAGCGATTCTACGTCCAACGAGGCTCTTATCCCTGAGGCCCGTGTGCCCCGCAGTAAGTCAACAAATTCCTTTGGAGACTTCAGGCTGAAGGCGCAGGGAACATAAGGAGTCAGCAGGCCGTTGAGTCTCTTCGCCAGTCTTTACGTGGGTGTGGGTATCTGGCTAATGATTGGCCGAAGTGGGTTTCCAGGCTTGTGTGTCTTGACATTTCCATACGCATATCCTGGTTTATATTCCCCAATGATCTTTGGCAGGTGGAGTCCGGATTTCTTGGCGTTCACAGTTTCGATCAGTTTGTTCAAAAACAGTTTCGATCAGTTTGTTTGATCAAAAAGCAAAGGTCAACAAACTGATCGAAATTGTGAACGCCAAGAAATCCGGACTCCACCTGCCAAAGATCATTGGGGAATATAAACCAGGATATGCGTATGGAAATGTCAAGACACACAAGCCTGGAAACCCACTTCGGCCAATCATTAGCCAGATACCCACACCCACGTACAGACTGGCGAAGCGACTCAACGGCCTGCTGACTCCTTATGTTCTCTGCGCCTTCAGCCTGAAGTCGCCAAAGGAATTTGTTGACGTCGTGCAAATTATACAAATAAGTGTAATACACTCTATAGTAAATCACTTCTTTTCTTCACCTTAAAAGTACGAAAATGAGTTTTGGAGAACTCCTATTTCAATTAAGCCCTGATGATAAGAAAATAGTTAGAGGGATAGAAGCCCTAAACCAGAAAATAATAAATACAGAATATGCGGTCATATTCAATGAAACATGTTTGAAAGAAAACCTGCTGCCAGTATACACCAATATATATATATATATATATATATATATATATATATATATATATATATATATATATATATATATATATATATATATATATATATATTGTTGGAAATTTCCAACACTAATAAACTACTATTGTATTATAATACATCATCATCATTATATACTAACTACAGTAGTTATTAATTTCACTAACAGTAGTGTAGACATAAATTAAACTATTTCTTCCGCTATTCTGCGTATTAGTGCTAGAATTCTCATGAAATCGAGTAGCAAAATTGCGTCAGATAATGTCTAGATGGACACGTTTATTACCAATGTGTTAGAGAATTGAATGTGGTTCTCTAAAATTATCAGTATTCCGAGTAATAATTACCTACGGATAATATGACTCCCGATAATCTAAAACCGAGAGTTATTAACTGAAATTATTATCAAGTAGCAGTTTTATCTGTTACGTACGAATGCTATGGAGAATAAAATTCGTCTCCATTTCTCGTTTAAAACCATTAAACGAGAATATGATAATATTTAAGTCCCTATAATTGCAACCCAGTTCTCATTAACGTATTACATCCATAATTGCGTGGAAAAGAATTATCCGTGATTAATAATTTCTGTGGTGAATGCGAGAGACGGGTTGAGGGAAGGCGGAGACGCCATTGTACACAAGCCTTCCCAGGCGTGAAGAGTGGCGAGACACGTGGTAGTGACTGGGGAGTTTTTATCGACAAGAATTACGTTGATACCCGGTTAACAGTTAACAATTACTTATCCACATGTTCTATAGTGCCCGGCCAGTTAATAACGCGTCAACAATTGAAGCCACGACCCGTAATTACACTTACACAGCAGTGGACGCCTGGGACTGGCTGATGCGGTTTCGGCAGACCTCAGTATTTGATACGCTCATGTTAAGTATACCATTCTCGTTTGATGCATCATCCTAGATTGTATATTTGTGAGTAGTCTGTCGTTACACAGCAAGGATACCTAATACACAACGTTAGTTGAATTTCAACAATTTCTCCGTGTTCATGAATATTTGAAATAAATCGTAGCCTAATCAAATGCTACTTAAATTTCTCTGATTTCAGCGTGTATACGAGGAGTCGACAGGTTACAATACAATACAATACAATACAATACAATACAATTTTATTTAGGTAAGGTACATACATACAATAAATATTTACAAGGATTGTTTAACTTATAGGTATAGCTAGTACATACAATGCCTAAAGCCACTATTACGCAAAGCGTTTCGGGCATGATAAACTTAAATGACAAGCTTAATACTAATTGAGCATAATGAGTAGAATGAAAACAAGAAATGAAAACATAGATGAAAAAGCAGCACAAATACAATTATGTCGACAAACAGCGCTCTTTAAAGAAAAAAACAGACATTGGTTGACAATAGAAGGGTAAGGTAGGTTACAGGGAATTTATTAGGTATAGCTTCACTTTTAACTTAAACTGGTTGAGAGAGGTACAGTCTTTAACATGGTTGGGAAGGACATTCCACATTCTGGGCCCCTTGATTTGTAGAGCATTTCTAGTTTAAGTCGTACTCTAGGAATATCAAAACTGTATTTATTTCTGGTGTGGTGCTCATGGGTTCTGATACAACCTTCTATGAAGCTTTTGAGATCAGGATTGGCATTATAGTTTAGCGTTTTATATATGTATAATACACATGAGAGAATGTGCAGTGACTTAATGTCTAACATATTCAGAGATTTAAGTAGGGGTACCGAGTGATGTCTGGGGCCAGAATTGGATATTGTCCTAATAGCAGCTTTGTGTTGAGTAATTAGAGGACGTAAGTGATTTTGGGTAGTAGAGCCCCAAGCACAAATACCATAGTTGAGATATGGATAGATAAGGGAGTAATAGAGAGTCACCAGGGCAGGGCGTGGTACATAATATCTGATCTTAGAAAGAATGCCCACAGTTTTTGAAACTTTTTGATATGTTTAGAATGTGTCCCTGGAAATTAAGCTTGCGGTCAATGAGAATGCCAAGGAATTTGCCATCTAATTTGTTACAAATTTGGGTATTGTTTATTTTGAGATTTATTTGATTAGAGGATTTATTGCCAAACAGAATATAAAAGGTTTTGTCAATGTTAAGGGTGAGTTTGTTGGCAGTTAGCCACAGATGGACTTTATTTAGCTCAGTATTTACTGTGGCATTTAGAGCAAGGGGATCAGGACTGGAGTAAATGAAGGTTGTGTCGTCAGCAAATAGAATTGGTTTTAGAATTGGTTGTTTCTCATCATTCGTGATATTCACCTCGGGTTCTTTCTTTATTGGGATCCTGTGACCACGAGGACGAATGACGAAATGGCGTTACAGAAATCGTCTTACAGCTAAGACATTTTTTTCGTACAAATTTATCTAATATTATTACTGATTTCTATATAATTCGTATAGGATCTTTACATTGAATCAATTATTGTCAGAAATGATGATTTGGTAATTAATGTGTTTTGCTCTGACTGTTGCTCCAGTAATTCATAATCTTTAATATTCATAATTTGAGTTATCATATCTTTGAATCTATTACCACACTGGTTCCTAGATATATTTGAACTTCTAGAAATACCCCCCCCCCAATGTTAATATTTGAGGCTTTGACTTTAATTAATTAATAATACAGTCTATTCATTATTTTCAAGTGATTATTCATTTAATTAGTTTCCATAGACACTGGTTCTCTAGTGTCATTCTAATGATCACTATTATTCGTTTTCCCTCTTTTCTCAAAAGTGGGTGGTCCTTCGATTTATTTAAATACAATAACCAAATAATTGAATATCTGAGTCAAGCCCCAGAAATCCAACATATATATAAACTTGAGGAATTAAAAAAAGACATGTCATTGATCCATTTTATTTCATAACAATAGGGGTGCTGTTTTAGTGAGTGCATGTAGGGAAGCGCACACACACTCACCGAGCACTGGAGGCACTTATCTGGTGTTCCCTTAAGTACAGACGTTACACTGGGAGCATCATATCATCTTGTATCAAAACATAAAATTGATGAGGCTACTGGGACGGTGAATGAAATATATAATATACTATATACTTAGGGAAGCAGGGAATGGTACTTCAGTTTGAATTGGCCATGATTGGCATTTTTAGTTGAAAATAAATCTGAATATTCAGTAGACTTAATTTGAGTAGACTTAAGGATCCCTGCAGTAGAGTAGGGTTCATTCTCAACTCACAATCTAGAATTCCGGGTTCGAATCCCAGGCGGGACAGAAATAATTGGGGGAATTTCCTATCACCTAATACCCATGTCCACCTAGCAGTAAATAGGTACCCAAGAGTTAGTCAGCTTGTTGTGGATTTGCATCCTGGGCAGGGTCAGTAATTCAACCTTATTATGACAGTCTTGACTAGGCCTTGAGCCCACGGCTGTGATGATAACTAAGTACCCTGTGTATCGTTCCTCTTAATTATCTGTTATTTTCGTGATTGTGGTAGATAAGTTAATGGTTAATATGTTTAACAATTCATTAATGAGTTTTTAATTTAATTTCAGATCTATGATTTAAAAATATTCTTCTCTGCTCTTATCCAATGAATTCATTTGTCTGCTATCAAATATCTAGCTGTTAAGATTAATTAATATAGAGAAAGTAAATAATAATACCGTGGCTGGCTCCAACACATTAACCGATACTTTAGAAAATAAGAAAGGATAAAGTTCCGAAGCCTCGCCACTCCCTACCTACATTTTCAGGTGTGAGAGATGGTGTAAAAATAATCATTTAACCATGTTTCATAGTTCTCATATGATGATTTAGTCACTAACACTTGATTTTAAATTATTATACTCGAGCCTAGAACAAAAATGAAGGCACTTCCAGATCTTCCAGCTGCCATACTGGCATTTATGTAACATAAATCCTGGAAGACTGAAGCACTCAAAAGTCTGGACAGGTGAACATTGCTGGAACAACTGGAAAAAACCTTCAGGAAGAAATATAATAAATATTTATTAAATAATAGCATTGTTATTTGACTGAAAGATGAGAAATGCATAGGATTGAAAAGCCTAAACATTAACGTAGGACTGTTAGTATGTTTAGAAAATGTGTGAACTGTTTTGGTATAATAATACCATTATTATACTTCTGCGTCTGCTACTACCACTACCACTACAACCATTGCTACTACTACTGATACTGTTATACGTCTATTATAACTGATAGCCATACATATTCTTGAAAACAAAATCACAATACATAAACAAAGATAGCCTATGCATATGACATTTTTTTTCATATTTTCTTGACTACCAGCAATAATTAAGTTCATTTAATGTCTTGCATCCGCTGGTGTGTTGTGTACGTTCGCGACGGTCTCTGGATGGCTTCGCTTGTGCACAGGTGTAAACAAAACAAAATCTTGAAAGGGAAGGCTTAAAAAAAAGTCTATCTTAGTCAAGCCAGCCATCACTACTACCTGGATGGTTGTGGCTGCCCATATTCGGATTGGAAGGCCCAATCCCTACAACCTTGGATAGATGAGTGATGACTGTGCTAGTGGGATGCTTGAGGATTGATCAATATCTGATACTGTGATGGTTAAGAATGTTTATATTTCCACTCTTGCATGTGGCTGAGTGATCAATTTCAGCTGGTATGGTAGTTGAGGAGTGATCTATTTCAGCTGGTATGGTAGTTGAGGAGTGATCTATTTCAGCTGGTATGGTAGTTGAGGAGTGATCTATTTCAGCTGGTATGGTAGTTGAGGAGTGATCTATTTCAGCTGGTATGGTAGTTGAGGAGTGATCTATTTCAGCTCATATGGTAGTCGAGGAGTCATCTATTTCGGCTGGTATGGTAGTTGAGGAGTGATCTATTTCAGCTGGCAGGATAGTTGAGGAGTTATCTATTTCTGCTGGTGAAGTGGTTGAGGAGTGATTATTTCAGCTATTAAATTCGTTGTGGAGTGATCTATTTCTGCAGGTGGAGTGGTTACGTAGTGATCTATTTCTGCTCGAGGAGTGGTTGATGAACAATCTATTTCTGATGGAGGGATTGTTGGAGAGGAATCAGTTTGCTACTGCAAAAGCGGGAGGCATTACTCCTGCAGAATGATCTCCGTCTGCCTCAACACCTCCTCCCAAGCCTTGTCAACATCATACGGCTCCGTCATACTTGAACATACAGCAAACCTGTCAAATATTTAAGTGTTAAGCTCAAAAATAACATAAATCATACATTACTAATCATTGGAGAATCAACATGTTTGTGTTTATAAATTAACATTTGCTTTTAATTTGAAATAATATATAAATATTCAAGAATTTTTATATATTATTTTTTGTTGCATTGTTGTTTTGAAACATGACCAGACCTGGTGAAATGTGATCTGAAATGATGAAACATGACCTGACCAGATTAATATGACTTAAGATGAATCATGGCTAGACGTGATAACACATGAGCAAAAGTGAAGAGACATAATTATATGATAATCTGCTGAAACTTGTCCTGACCTGATGAGACATGACCATAAAAGAACAAAACATGATCTGACCTGATAAAACACGATCTGACATGATGACACATAACCTGACTGATGAAACATGACATGGCCTGAGGAAATATGACGTGACGGGATGAAACAGGACCTGACCTGAGGAAATATGACGTGACGGGATGAAACAGGACCTGACCTGAGGAAATAGGTGCTCCTGATCTTGGAAGGGACGAGGTGAATGACACCTCCAGCGTTGAGGTTCTTGAGCAGCGCCTCGTTGACCTCGTTGTCTCTCTGTAAAGTTATCACAACGCGTTATCACAACCCAGATATTATCTTCATGTGTTTAATATATAGTTACCTTGAACAGGTACAGATTTTTGTCTTGACACAACACGGTCTCTGTCTTGACATGACATAGTCTTTGTCTTGACATGACACGGTCTTTGTATTGACTTAACACCGTCTAAACTTTCATATGACATGGTCTTAGCATTGACACAACATGGTGTTCACCTTAACACGACAGTGATTATTTAGCATGAATTGTTTCCATATTTCTGATGTTCCTTTTCAATTGTGAAGAAAGTTGAGAAATTTCACTTTTTAATTAAAGTTAATTTCACAATTTTATTGGACGTGATGAGTGATGCTAAAGAACGCATTTGGCTGAGTCTACGGAGATAGAGAGAACGGGAACACACATTAACTGGTTCGATGGTATATATTCTATGTGGAATGACGTGAAAGGAGATACTATCTAGTCGAGGGGACTCGGGCTGACTGACTCTGTATTCCCATTGGTGGGCTGAGGTGGTCAGTGTGGTGAGAGATGGAAGCTATGACTGTCTTGTGATAGTGGAGGGCACCTAGCTGCATGTTGATAATTGGACGAGTGTGTTCAGTCATAGCCACGACAATACACATTCATTTCATATTGTTGACATATTTAAGGATGAAATACAATAGTTTACCAATAGAATATTTAAATACATTGAGTATCATTAATAATCTCAAAATTTATGCCTCCAAAAAATATATTTATTAAAGAAGGGATTCCTTAATGCGGATTTCCAAATATGTTTACTGATATACAATTATTTCAACACACAACCAGACCATTGCCAAAGATATTCTGACCAATAACGCCAACATAATCTATAGAGATATCGACAACAGAAGAAAAGACGTAGACAAAGCACTACACATCAGTCATCTAATCAACAACAGCCGGCTTACGCCCAGATATGTATCCTACCCGGGCGCCCCCTCCAGGAGGACTGGTCGATGACCGGGCCGCGGGGACGCTAAGCCCCGGAAACACCTCAAGGTGACCAAGGTACCCTCCTCAAGACCAGGATAGACAGCTCACACCTCACCCACTGCCCCAGCTGGGTAATGATAGACAGCTCACACCTCACCCACTGCCCCAGCTGGGTAATGACAGCTCACACCTCACCCACTGCCCCAGCTGGGCAATGATAGACAGCTCACACCTCACCCACTGCCCCAGCTGGGTAATGATAGACAGCTCACACCTCACCCACTGCCCCAGCTGGGTAATGATAGACAGCTCACACCTCACCCACTGCCCCAGCTGGGTAATGATAGACAGCTCACACCTCACCCACTGCCCCAGCTGGGTAATGATAGACAGCTCACACCTCACCCACTGCCCCAGCTGGGTAATGATAGACAGCTCACACCTCACCCACTGCCCCAGCTGGGTAATGATAGACAGCTCACACCTCACCCACTGCCCCAGCTGGGTAATGATAGACAGCTCACACCTCACCCACTGCCCCAGCTGGGTAATGATAGACAGCTCACACCTCACCCACTGCCCCAGCTGGGTAATGCCTAACTTCACTTCGTCTTCATTTCTATCCACTTTCCCTCTGAAGTTATTGAGAGTTTCAATTAATTAAATGCATCATTTATCATTGGGACAATTTTAAAATTCCTTTTAAAATTCATTTTAAAATTGGAGAGCGTGCTAAATAGGCACCTTTCCTGAGCTCTGATGATCAAATTTACAAACAAGCCGTCCTCGTGGCACAGTGGTAAGACACTCGCCCGGCACTTTGCGAGCGCTTTGGCCTGGGTTCGTATCCTGGCTGGGGAGGATTGACCGGGCGCCAATTCTTAATTGTAGCCTCTATTCACCCAGCAGTGAATGGGTATCTGATTGTTAAACGATTTGGCGGGTCGTATTAAAGAGAAAATTAAGATTAAAGCATGCCCGAAACGCTATGCGTGCTAGTGGCTTTATAAGAATGTAAGAACTCTTGTATAAATAAATAAATAATAAATAAATAAATAAAAAAGTAGATAGTATCACCATAAGTTCCCCCTCCAGGTGTACTATTTGTAAATAATTATATAGTTACTATACAGGTACCAGACGTCACCCGTAGGTATGGTGATGATATAGTCCTGTAAGTACCCGCAGCACAAACACTTCCTAGCAGTCCGCATTCACACTCAACACGGGCAGATGATCATTGGTACCACATACATTCGTCCAAACTTAGGTCTCCCCCTACAGGACCTAAACACTCTCTTCAACCACACACACATACCAGTCTTCCTCCTAGCAGACCTAAATGCAAAACACCAAACATTCAACCATCGCCAACACAACATGCACGGTCAACAACTACACCAACTCCACCAAAACAAACACCTCACCTTCCTTGGCCCCGACTTCCAAACAACCTACACACACAATGGAACTGGGAGACCAGATCTCATCCTCACCAACAGAGCAGGCACCCGCCTCCAACACTACATCACACCCGGACCCCTCACCGGCTCAGATCACATACCCAAATCACTCACACTCTCCAGCAACCCCATACTCATCCCAGCCACCCCACAATATGACTATCAAAATGCAGACTGGGAAGCCTTCAAACAACACCTAACTGCCAGCACACAGCCCTACAACTTCCAAGACAAACCACACACAGACATAGATTCCCAAATCCTCACCATCCAGAATAACATCATACAAGCAGCTGATGCTACCATTCCAAAAACTACCCACAAAACCAGATACTCCTTTTTTCCTTCGATCAGAACAAAAAGGCTACTCTCCTGCTATCACAACAGATTCACCCACAACCTTCACAGATACAACCAAGTAAACACAGACCTCACTATACTCAAAAACCACATACTCAACAGCCTTGACCAAGACCATGCTAACCACTGGGAGAAACTCATACATAAAGCTGAAATACAAAGAAAAACAACTCCACAACAATTTTGGAACTTCATAAAGAGGATCAGGGGAAACTCCTCCTCTTCTGTCTTTACATACATCACTCACAACAATCAAAACTACACCGATCCCTCAGAAGTAGTAGACATATTCAAACAACACTGGCAGGACATCTTCAATCCCCACCCCCCACAGCCAACAGCAATACAAAACATAAACAGAGTAGAAACATGGATCCGACACAACCCTCATGCCATCACACACTACCCTACCATTGACCTCACGACACTAGACGACTTAGAAAGTGACCTCACAGAATCAATACTACCTGAAGAAGTTAAACTCATGCTCAAGAACATCAGACGTAAAGCCCCAGGAGCCTCTGGCATTGGCCAAGCTCTCCTCAAGCAACTTCCAGACCCCCTAATCTTTGCACTCACAGACGTCTACAACGTCTCACTAGCATCAGGATATTTCCCAAGCCCAAAGAAAGCCACAGCAATCCTCATTCCAAAACCCCAAAAATCCCCGACAGACCCCAAGAACTACAGACCGATCAGCCTACTAGAGACACTAGGGAAAGTATACGAAAAACTCATTAATCATAAACTCAGGAATCACCTAGAACACAAAAACATATTGACAGACAAACAATTTGGCTTCAGACGACACCGCTCAACACAAGACGCACTGAACATAATAACAAACTACCTCTCCATAAATAAACACCAGAGGGCCAAGACGGCCCTCATTGCAAAGGACGTCGAAAAGGCTTTTGACACAGTATGGCACGACGGCCTACGTTACAAACTCTGCACTCTATTTCAACTATCTGACAACATGCAGAGGCTACTTTGCAGCTTTCTAACAAATAGAAAGATGCAAATCAAGTTCCTCAGCAAGCTGTCAGGTTACTTCAACCTAAATGCAGGTGTCCCCCAGGGCTCAGTTCTCTCACCAACCTTATACATACTCTATATAAACGACATCCCTGACCCAATATACTGGACATCAATGACCCTTTGCTACGCTGACGACGTAACCCAACTGATCACAGACTATACGATTAACGCCCTCACACGGAAAGCACAACTAGAAATAGACAAAGTCACCCTCTGGGAACACGACTGGCGAATAAAAACAAACCCCAACAACTCTAAAATTACATACTTCTTCTACAACAAACGACGTAACCCTGACCCAGTAAAACTCTACTCTCAATCACCAGATGCAACCCAGATCCCAAGAGTCAACAACACCACAGTACTTTACATTAGACTCACATTAGACTTTAACCTTCGCTTTCACACACACATAACACCCAAGACAGCTATAGCCTCAAACGCTCTATCAAAACTCTTCCCACTCAAACATGCCTCCCAAGCCACCAAGCTCTATCTATACAAAACACTTATTCTCCCACTCCTAACATATGCACCGATCCCACTCTCACTTGCAGCACCAACAAATAGGAAGAAACTCCAGCGCACCCAGAACAGGGCTCTGAGATGGGTGTTCGATACCCACTAGCAGGACTTTACCACCAGTGAGGCCCTGCATGAGTGGGCGAACATCCCACCTCTGAACATAACCTGGAATACTATGGGGAAGAAACACATTAACAGAATTCTCACCTATCATGACAACTACGACGCGTTCCTCAGAAACGTCCTAAGCACACCCAGACATACGCACAACCTCTTTAACCTGATCGACGATCCACCTCCTGCTCCGTCCTTTACATAACCCCTCTCCTGTAATATACCACTACTCAAATCACCAAACTTCCAACTATAGCCTCCTAACTCTTCTCCCCCCTCTTTAGGGGGGGGGGGGGACCAACTAGCTCCCGTTTTCTGGTGCCTTGGATGGGGCACGATGCTGATTAGCAGATCCAAGACCACATCTGGTGTGAGCCTCCAGGGCACACCCAGCTGAGGGCTGCTGTCTCCGTGGGTGCTCAGAAAGACGAAATGTTGTCACAGAGATCCGATTCCTTGCCTCCATTGCCTAGTCTGGTCATAACGATTTCAATGCCATGCAGCTGGGTCTAGCTCTGGCACTTTAC